GGAAGGAAGGAAGGAAGGAAGGAAGGAAGGAAGGAAGGAAGGAAGGAGATTATAATGAGAGTAAGAAAAGGTCTCAGGGAAATCCTGCCTTAGCACTTGGCGACCACAGGTTCCCCCGACACGAGTCCCATGTCATGCGCACCATGGCCACACCCCTGACCACACCTCTCACACCACACCCCAGCCCTCCAAGGTCAAACACAACCCTGATGCGGCCCTCAATGAAATTTGAGTTTGACACATGCTGGAAGACAATTATATCTCGTCTAAACTTTCTCTTTGATAGGCTTTATAATAACCTAGCTAATAAAGGGACACAGAATTAGTAATGGGTGTTCTAGTGGTTTCTATCCTGCCAACATCTGGTCAGCATCTTCCAGAGGCAGCTGTACTTAGACTGCATTGCAACAGTACAAGCGGAGATCACAATGTTAAAAAAAGGGTAAATCTGATTTTAGACAGCTGGTGTAGCAGTCTACGCTTGTGAGAACTGGTAGTCCATCTGCACTTCTGCAAAGTGAGTTGAGTTCATTAATTTCTACAGTCTATGAATTTGGTTCCTTGTGGACAGGACAATCCCATACAACACAAGTGTCAGGATTCCAGCAGTTGCCCCCATTTAAATCATGAGTCTCGAGCCAAACTTCCAAAACTTCAAAAGCATTTATTGGGAGTTAACATGTCTGGCACTGCCTGGGTGTAGCCGACTCATCATCACCCTTGACCCTGGTTTCCCCCCCACCCCTTTGGGTGTATCGCAATTCATATCCTCCAATGGGACACATCCATAGCCAAGAGTCATCAATCATGTTCTCCAGTTAGAATTTTGTGTGGCAGAAACTTCGGTCACCTAGTTATTATCTTTGAAAACATTTATGGAATGCAGTTTCGGTTTTGAAAGCTGCTGCACTGCTCCCCCCCCCCCCCTCTTTCTGTTGGCAACTCTAAAAAGACCATAGAAATATTTTATGAGTCGACAAGCTTTATAGTCCTTTATACAGAATGTCCAAATGAAAACCTTGTCTGGATTAAATATCAGTTTCTTTCCCTTTACCCATTGTACAAAAACAGGAACTGGTAGACGATCAACCAAAGGTCAGCACGCAACTCCTTGGAGAGACACTTCTTCAACCCAACGCAACCCTGATGGCTTGCTTTTGTTTCCACAGTGTGTCCAAGTGGGAGATATGGGAAAGATTGCGCTAACTTGTGCTTGTGTACAAACAACGGGACCTGCAATCCTACTGATGGCTCGTGTCAGTGTTTCCCAGGATGGATCGGCAAAGATTGCTCACAAAGTAAGAGAAAACACGTCATCTTTTTAGTTTGTATACCATTGCAGCAATTTTATTTATTTATTATTTTATTTATTTATTTATTTGTCAAACATATACAAGATGACAAGTACAGGTATGAACATAAACAGGAGCAAAGAAATAAATACAGATAAATGGGGACAGTAAGACAGGGACGGTAGGCATGCTGGTGCGCTTATGCACGGCCCCTTTAAGGACCTCTTAGGAATGGGGTGAGGTCCAAGCTAGACAGTTTGAGGTTAAAGTTTTGGGGGTTTGAGGCTGTAACAACAGAGTCATTTAGTGCATTCCAGGTGTTGACCGCTTTGTTGCTGGAGTCGTATTTTCTGCAATTGAGTTTGGAGCAGTTTACCTTGAATTTGTATCGGTTGTTTGCCCGTGTATTATTGTGGTTGAAGCTGAAGAAGTCATTGACAGGCAAGACGTCGTAGCAGACAATTTTGTGTAAATTTTCTTTTAAGGTTACATATGTATATTTCAAGGCAAATAGGTTTTAATTTCAAGTATTTTTCCTAGCAGAAACCAATGATTTAAGTTCACTTTCTGGAATGTTAGTTCTCTGATTCTTTAATTCATTCTCAGGACCTGCTTAACCTGATTGTGAGTTAACCCATCTTCAAGACCTGCATGCTGTACGGCTGCACACGTTTTTCAGATGAGCGGGATTCAGACCAAAACAACCATTAACCATAGTTACTCCAAGCCAAGCTTAGAGTGTGAGAATCATAATCCGGGAAGGGATCTTGGAGGTCTTCTAGTCCAACCCCTAAGGCAGAAGACTTTATATCCATGATGGCGAACCTATGGCACATGTATGCCGTTTGCGCGGGCACGCAAGCCCCAGCCAAACTTACCTGCACTGCGCATGCGTGCTCCTCACAGCTAATTTTCAGCCCATTTGAGGCCGTTTTCACCCACCCGGAGGCTCAAGCGAAGCCTCTGCAACCTTGGGAGGCCGAGAAAAGGGCTTTCCGGCCATACTGGAAGTGCCGAAACGGGTCCATTTTTCGGCCTCCTGAGGCTGCAGAGGCTTCCCACGAGCCTCCGAGAGGGCAAAAACGGTCTCAAGTGGACTGGGAGGCACGCGCATGCACAGTGCCGGTAAGAGGGCAGGGCAGGGGGGGTTGCCTGCACATGCGCAGGGGGTGGGGCACATTGCATTGTGGGTGCTGGCACGTGCACATTTTCGGCACACCACCACAAAAAGGTTCGCCATCACTGCCTTATACAGTGCCCATGTTCAATGAATGCATCTGGTAGACCTTTACTTGAACACAACCATGGAGGAGATGAATAATTTCTTGAAGTGTCTTGAAACTGTTACGGGATAACTATATATTTTTGTAAGTAGTCCTCGACTCATGACTTGTTTGTTTAGTGACCATTCAAAGTTACAGCTGCACTGGAAAAAGTGACGACTGTTTTTCACACTTACAACCATGGCGGCATCCCCATTGGTCACGTGATCAGAATTCGGCTGCTATTCGTATTTATGACGGGCGTGCGTGATTCCCCTGACCAGAAAAGCCCACGGGGAAGCCAGATTCACTTAGCAACCATGTTACTAATGCGACAACTGCAGTGATTCACTTAGCAACGGTGGCCAGAAAGGGTGTCAAAGAGGACAGAACTCACTTAACAACAGAAATGTTGGGCTCAATTGTGGTCGTAAGTCGAGGACTACCTCTATTCACAAACACTGCAGATTAGATGAAGGGAAATCTCTTAGGTGGAAAGAGGATGAGTAATCCTCTTTTACTTTTACTTTTGAAATAATTTGTATTAAACAATTTTTGTTATCTACAACATCATTTCCATTCATTGCAATGCTTCTGTGATGGTATGCATACTTCTACATATATCTTAGTTATCTGTTCATTTGTCTATATTCCTTAAACTATCTTTGTCCACTCTAACCTTTGCCTTATTATTCTATTGTCGCCTTCTCTATTCATCTCTATATCAATCATTTAGCCAATCATACGATGCATTCCACGTCAAATAATAATCTGTTTCTTCTTTGTCTTTCATCTCCATGGTCAACTTATCCATCTCAGCACACTCTAATATAATTTTTTATCACATTTTCTCCTAGTGGCATATTGTCTTTTTCCCAATTTTGTGTGTAAGATATTCTTGCTGCTGTGAATAGTTGTAGCATTAAATATTCTGTTTTCTTATCATATTTTCCTCTTAGTTCAATTTGTTGTTTAATTATTTCTTCTATCCATTTTTTTGTCCTTATCACGTATTTCCTTACTACAGGGCGTGTTTGCATTTCTAGCATTCGGGTAATCCTTTTTATCTGATCCCAAGATAATGTTTCTTGATGCAATCTGGTTCCCAGTCTGAATCTTCCCTATGAAAATTGCCCTTCATTCATGTAACTTATTAGAAATGCATCTGGTTATTTCGAGTCAATGCTTGTTTAATCAAAAGTTTCCTGTTGGGACACGCAGCCCCATTTATTGGTTCTTGAGGAACATCGTTGCTAGAATTACTCGTGAATAGTCTATTAATTGCCCCCAAAGAGTTTCTCCTAATTACCACTTAATGACAGTTTGTAGAGGTAGGAATTTAATTACAAGATTCTTCCCATACCCCCTCTTTTTGGTATTATTTCACTTCATAAATGGAACCCATAAAAAGGGGGACCTTTTAATACAATTTTCCCACCATGCCAGGAACAGAAATAAGGGACGGTTAAGAGGGCCATGGAAAAAGAAATAATTAACCAGTTGTTCATTATTAATTTCCCAGCTGTGCTCAACAGGAAGCCACAGAAGAGCACGGCCTAAAGGCAGGAAGCCTTTAATTAAGGTTGGACGGGATCTTAGTTGGAGAATTATTTCTGAACAGACATCATAGAAAACTCTGGGCATGACTCTCAACCGTAGAAATGCCGCATGAAGAGCAGGGCAAGGACAGGACTTCCAATTTAATTTCCACTGTGAGATGATGGGGGGAAAAACAATGCCTCGGCCACATTATTTTGAGGAGAAAACCGATGTTTCAAACGCACTTGCACACCACTCTACACAATTAGATTATTCATATGGTCTCCTTTGGAGAGCGATGCGTTGGCCTAGAGGTAGAGCTCTCCTCTCACAATCAGGAGGCTGTGAGATCCATCCTAGATATTTCTCTCTCTCTCTTTCTCTCTCTCTCTGGGCACATTGAGAATATATCTGCTGAATGTAACTCCGCATTGGTGACAGGAAGGGCATTGGGCCAGTAAACACTCAACACTCCATTTGGTTGCCCAGACTCCACCCCGCAAGGGATTATGGAGTTGTTAAAAGGAGATTATCCATTAGAGCAGCGGTCTCCAATCTTTCCAGAATGGTGAGGGAGGGGAGAGGGGATGGTTCTGTGAGAGCACACGCGACTCCATTTGTGGAAGGCGGTGGGATATGCGCGCACCAGCCGCTTACTCAAATGGAGCTTCACGCACTACCGCGAGCACTCATCACTCGCACAAGTAGAGTTGCACATACGTTTGACCCACTGCTTCCACGGCCCAAACAGGCCACAGCGCGGTAGTGAGCTGCAACTCGGCGACCCTTGTCTTTAGGGGGCTATTGCTAAATTTGCAAATGTCCTTTTTTTCCTCTGATACCCCTGCAACTAATTTTACACAAAGACCCCAATAAATAATAAAAAGGGACCTTGGAGTCCTCGTGGGCGATCACTTGAATATGTGCCAGCAGTGTGTAGCCACCGCCAAAAAAGCTAATACAATCCTTAACAGAGGCATAGAATCAAGATCGTATGTAGTATTAGTACCGCTTTACAAAACCCTAGTAAGGCCACACCTGGAATACTGGAACCAATTTTGGTCACCATACTACAAAAAAGATGTTGAGACCTTGGAAAAAGTTCAGAGAAGAGCAACTAAGATGATCAAAGGCCTGGAGACTAAAACATATAAAGAATGGTTGAAGGATTTGGGTCTGGCTAGTCTAAAGAAAAGAAGAATTGGGGTGACATGATAGCAATACTCCAGTATTTGAGGGGCTGCCACAAAGAAGAGGGAGTCAAGCTATTCTCCAAAGCACCTCGAAGGCAGGACAAGAAATAATGGATGGAAACTAATCAAGGAGAGAAGCAACCTGGAATTAAGGAGGAATTTCCTAATGGTGACAAGCAATCAACCAATGGAACTGGCTTGCGTTCAGAGGTTGTGGGTGCTCCATCACTGGAGGCTTTTAAGAAGAGACTGGACAGCCACTTAAATAGTTTAAGTTCTCCTGCTTGAGCAGGGGGCTGGACTAGAAGACCTCCAAGGTCTCTTCTAGTTCGATGCTATTCTATTCTAAATGAAAAAGAGCGCCTTTCAGCAAAGCAAATAGATCTATTTTACAAAATTTGAAAGTTGGCCAAGAGTTCTATTTGAATCTTTGACCCATAAGATGTTTTCCATTAACACCCTGCCTTAATCCACTCGAAACACCAGGATTTTTTTGTTCTTGTTTTGAAGGAAAGCCCATTCTTTTCAAGACTTTCCTGAATAATTAAGCAATTGACAATTCTGTGTGCGGGGAAGGTCCATGTTACTATAGAACAGGGGTTCCCAACCTGGGGGTGCGAGACGATATTCCAGGGGGTGCGAGAAAAGTCCAGGTAAATTATACGATATTGGCTGTATGTTGGCATTTTTATTTATTATGCAATGGATTAACTTTGTTTTCATTTCAGAGTTAAGTATCGTTATTTAGTGGCCGTCACATACATAGCTGAAAAGATTCAATCCTACCATATATTTGACGCGTTCAGTAGTTCCTAAAGTCTACATTTCAGTGGGTGCGAGGTTCGAGTGAAATTTCTTTAGGGGTGCGGGGTGAAAAAAAGGTTGGGAACCACTGCTGTAGACAGAAGGGAAATTCTTTTGTAGTTCCTCTTACGTGTAATTTACTTGTTAGAGTCTGAGAAACAGGGGTAGTCATTTTTTTCTAAATTGCCTCGACGGAAGATTGACATCTGCGGATCCTAAACGTAGCGTTTTCTAAACAAGTCCTTCATCAGAGATGAGGCATTGCACGGAAGACCAGCGTGTCCCCAATACGTTTTTTTTCTCTCTCCCGTATTCACTGTGCAGCAGGGGATATTAAACAGCATTTATTGCAAAATACATCAAACCTCCGGTGATACAGTAGGCACTGGATAAAAACAGACAGCTGCAATTTTGCTTTTATTGTAGGTCTTTCGTGAGTTCAATATGGCTGTCAATCAAAATAAAAATTAGGCAGGCTATCAATTTCGTTGGGTGGTTACTTCGAAAAGGTTTGAGAAATTCCTCTGCGTTCCTGCTAAATTGGGCCAGTGGCAAATATTTCATATATATATACATATACATACATATATACATATATACATATATACATATATACATATATACATATATACATATATACATATA